AGTTTCTATCATCTGTCCTTGTGTCTTTGATGAATGAAGTCCATTCCAAGTTTCCAACAATTCATCCATTGATTCTGATGAACCAGTTTAGATAGTAGCTGTGGTTATAGAAAGATATTATACTTATAGCCCTCCAATTTTAGGGATCCTAGGATTATATATTTGAATTTTCTGATGACTGATTGCAAATCACATGCAGGGAAAGTTGTATGCGATCATGGAAATATGCCGCTCTTTTGATCAAATATTTAAAGAACATCTTGATGGAGTGTATGTGCTACATTTTTGTGCATTTATTTTATTTTAAATAATTTAGTGCCCTATCCCTCTTGTGCTTTATTCATTTTCTCAAACTAACTTCAATAATTTGTCTATCCTGGACAGGCGACCTGGAGGCGATAAAATTTATAATGTTTTTGACAATCAGCTCCCTGCTGCTTTAAAAAGGCTGCAGTTTGATAAGCAGCTTTCCATGGAAAATATAAAGAAACTTATTACAGAAGCTGATGGGTATCAGCCTCATCTTATAGCTCCAGAACAAGGATACCGTCGCCTCATTGAATCTTCTCTAACTACAATCAGGGGTCCAGCTGAGGCAGCTGTTGATGCGGTATGTATAAATTGGAGAATAGTGATATGAAAATTATTGTTATTAAGCATATTTTTACAATGGCCCTGTTGCAGTGAGTCATTTTCCTAATGCAATTGGCACTGACAAAAAGTGACTTTAGTTCTACTGTATACTGTTATTCAATATTCACAATTATGTGTACCTCTTTCAGTTTTTGGTCTCCAGTCAAAAATATTTTTGACACGTAGATTGGGTCATCATTTTCTATCACTATCAATAAATGGTTTCCATAAATAATAATAGTATGAATTGAAAGTTTGCCATTGATTGTCACTCCTGTCATTGGAAATTTATTTGTTCCAAAAAGCAATTTGTGATATCTTGTGTGGTACATGATGAAATAAATTACTTGATTCGAGTGAAACCCTTTTTTCTTTTAGTTTCATCTTGTTAAAAGCTTTTTAAATGGGGAACTCTACAAATTTCATATTTTTATTCATAATGTATTTTTGTCATAGTTAATTTAATTACTTGTGCAACTTTTCATCTTTACTGATCTCATTTTTCATATTTATTAATGTCATTTTGAATTGTGTGCTTCTAGGTTCATTCCCAATTAAAGGACCTGGTTCACAAAGCTATGAGTGAGACTCTGGTATGTTCCCGACAATACCTTAAAATTTAGTGTTTTTGTTGTGCTATTATGTTTAAGCTTATTAGGTTTGTGGTGCAACGGTTTATGTCATTGGTATTCTACTAAGACAGTCCATTTTGCTATATGACACTCAAGGAAATGAAATATGCATGATTGTACGCCTATATGCTGTCATAAATTAGTGTCTAATGACTCTAATCTCTATGTTGTCAGCTGTGTAAAGCTGCTAAAATTAGAGAGATGCCAAAGGCTAATATTTTAATCAAAAACTAATTATTATTAACTCAACCTGTTATGCAATAGGAAAATGCTTCTAAATACATTGCTTAAAATCTTGTTTTCCTGTGACAAGGAGAAACCTGCCTTCTTTTGTTAGAAAGATTTTAAATGGGTATTGTGACTGGCAAGGTCTTGAATATTTTAAAGTAAAACAAAACAATTATGCCAAGTGCTTCCATTGCTTGCTGATTCTGTAGTTATTTATGATTAAGCTTTGACACTTTGGAATTTATGGAATTTTAATTTTTACATACTTAGAGTAGCAGTAATCTCTTTCTTCTATCCTTTTAATACAAAGTTATCTCATACTCTGTTGGTCTGATTGACTCACAGGACTTGAAGCAATATCCTGGTCTGCGTGCAGAGGTTGGGAATGCTGCTATTGATTCCCTTGAAAGAATGAGGGAGGAAAGCAAAAAATCAACGCTACAGCTGGTTGATATGGAGTGTGGCTATTTGACTGTTGATTTCTTTCGGAAGCTTCCTCAAGATGTGGATAAGGGTGGAAATCCTACACATTCAGTTTTTGATAGATATAATGATTCATATCTAAGGCGAATTGGTAAGTTTTACAAATTGCAGATTCTTACGTGGACTTAAAATCATGCTCTCTTACAGTTTATAATAAGCTTGTCCATTATCAACGTGTTGGAATGAACTGAACTGCTAACACACTCCACTGTGTTTCTATAAACAGGAACCAATGTCCTGTCTTATGTTGGTATGGTCTGTGCTAGTCTGCGGCATTCAATTCCCAAGTCAATTGTCTATTGTCAAGTGCGGGAAGCCAAACGGAGCCTACTTGATCATTTCTTCACTGAGCTAGGCAAAATTGAGGTGAGAGTAAATGTGTCTTCCCTAGTTTTATGATGTACTATGCTCTATGCTTTTGGTTATTTAATATTAAAACATTTATGTTATGTTTTGGCTGATTTTCATTTAATTTTTGTATTTTCTTAATAAATTGAACTCTGATAGCCTGTATGAATCCTCTTTGCAGCCCAAGCGTCTGTCTTCATTACTGAATGAGGATCCTGCGATCATGGAAAGAAGAAGTGCCCTTGCTAAGAGACTTGAACTATACCGGAGTGCACAAACTGAGATAGATGCAGTTGCTTGGTCTAAGTAGATCTGTATGTTACTGTTAATTTTAAAATTTCACGTGTATTCTTCATTCTTTACCTCTCCCTTTTAGGGGGGTTTTGCATTGCAACAGTGTCAATTTTATTAGAAGCCCGCTTGTAATATATATATAAGCAGCAGACTTGTTACTTGTAGTAAAGTCGACAATAGGCTACAATGCAACGTCCCAACAAAACGAGGAAAGATAGGAGTGAAGATAATGAATGAGCGAGTGTGCCTTTCACTTTGCCTTTTGTAGATATTTCATTTCTGTAATTTCTTCCTTACTTTTTCACTCGTTTCAAAAATATTTCTTGCGAAACTGCTGCAGAGTGTCGTCTTGTATTAAGATTATTCCCGTGATAGCCGAGAATATTAATAAATTATTAAAATTCAGATGCAGTCGATGATCAAACGAACATGAACAATTAAAAATATTAATCCCGTACATGAAGCAAGTTAAAGAAAATAATGATACAATCTTCTTATGACGTGTAATTAATCATTTATTAATTAAAGAAAAATTTAATTTTTCTAGATATTTTTTAATTAATCATTTATTTATTAAAGAAAATAATGATACAATTCTAGTAGTAGTATACATACTTAAAAGTGTTCAGACTTGTGTTAACAAGGATAATAATGAAAAAAGATCTTATCAAAGCAAGAGCCATACAAGATTCTAAGTCCATTTTGGTAAGCATATTTATTTTCAGCGGTTGGTTACAACTTTAAATACATAACACTAAGTATAAAGTATTTTTAAAGTCTTTTCTATCTAAATTAAATGAATATTATTTTAAATCACTAATTGCAATTCAAAAAACATTTTTCACAACTCAGCAGCTAAGGGAGAAAAAAAATCAACTTTCATGTAAAAACTAGCTATAACTTAACCATGACAGTCTCTAATTAGACTCTCACATCCATTATTTTCTTGAGCTTAAGAAACTATACCATTCATTGATTAGGATATATAAAACATGATTGAGTTGACTTGTTGTATTAAATTGAGTCATCATTAATCAATTTAATAAAAATTACTTATTGATTGGGCCATAACTCTAAGGATTTAAAGTTATTTTTTGAAAAAGTAAGGACTAAATTTAAAGGTTAAAATATTTACAAGTCCAAAAATGTATTTTTTATAAAATATCAGAAGAAAGGAAAAAGAGTCAACTTGATAAATATAAAATTATTATATTTCATAAATAAAAAATATAAATTTAGTACTGGCTCAACTTTAACGTGGGTAATTTTTTTTTTTTGCCTCTTATTTTTTTTTAAAGTTCATAATTACTTGACAAATAATTTTGGCTTGCTAATATTTTTCTAAAAAAACTCCTTCATCTTATTCTGATATAGTGTCTTATTTTAGAACATTTTTTTACTAAGAAAAATAGATTGTGTCAAATATAATTCTATAAAAACTCGAAAAAGTAAAATGAACTTTTTTTAATGAATCAAACATAAATAAAAGCTAATTTTTATAATTTTTTCTTTGTCCTCTTTATTTGTTGCAACTTTTTTAAGAGCTAAGAATACATTGCTCAATAATTTTCAACTTAAAAATGACTTTTAAGCTACAAAATTATAAAATTTCCAAACAGCTAACTTTAACTTTAAATTAAACTTTCTTATTTTAAATTTTAAATTTATAGTAGTTTTAAAATTTAAAAAAAAATAAATGTTATCTACAAGTTTTTTATTTCAGAAATTTTATATTTAAAAAAGACACAAACTATAATAATTTTAATAAATCATTCTTAATTAAAAAATTTCATCTCAAATTTTACTTCAAACCTTTATAAACGTTGGCTCGACCTATATAAATCTTAAATAAAAATAAAGATGTGAGTACTTTTTTTAATAGTAGCGTGTCACGATTATTTATTTATATATTGGATTTAAAAATTATATATATTAAGATGTGTTTTTCAAAAAATTACAGAAATATAATATTAAAAAATCATTAATAATAATTTTTTATGTAAGTGTAGAACACATAAAATTTATAAAGTTTTGTTTTAAAAAGTATTAAAAAATTGTGAAAAAATTCAAACTTTGCTGGGGGCATTTTTAAAAAATAATATTTTTTTAAAGTACCAAAAAAAATGCAATTGGCAATTTTTGTCAAAATCTCATATTTTGGTATTTGGTAAACTATCTTATCAGTGAGAGGCGCGAAGTTTCATTTTTGTGTCTCTTTCAGCTTTAAACATTTGATTATGAAAGTAAAATGCATTTGCGGGCAATACACGCCACAAGCACGAAGCACAATGAACAAATAGAAAAATAATAGCACATATGCTTTGTTTATATATATATTTTTAATTCTTGACTAAAGTTTATACGAATCATAAATAAAATTTTAATTCATTTTCTAGTTACCAAAAAACATATAAAATTAATCAAATAATAAACATAATATTAAAAACGATCTGACTGAAAAAGGAGAGATTTCAAACTTTCTTGTGTGTTACTATGCAATATGATAGATAGCATTGATTGGTTGATGTTTGGCATCAGATTCAGAAAGCAACCCCAGTACTTGTTCTGCAACTTCCACCAAATACTAATCACCCACTTCCACTTGTCTGAATTCCCTTTCAATTTCATTTGCATTCTCTTCCTCTTTTTTGAGATCTCTTATCTGATTTTCACTTCTTCAAGGTGCACTCATTTTTCTCTCACGTTTATTCCTGCATTCTATCTTTCACCCTTCTAATTTTATGTTTCTTGCCCTTTTGCGTGTGTGATTTGAATCTCAATTTAGCAAATTCAATTTTTTTGGGGCGAATCGAATTGTAGAATATCTAATGCTGAATGCGCCTTGCTGTATGTTCACAAAAAAATGTTTATTTGTTTTGCACTGGATGCTGAAAAATTCTTAGTATAAAAGGATGTTGATGATATTTTACCTTTAGTGCCAAAACCTTTTCTCTGTTATGGATTTTTGTTATGGCCAGATCTCAGATTTTACATTTGATTTGCTTGGGGGATTTAGGCAACATTGGTTGTGAATTATCTTGCTTGCAGTAATTTTTGTCAGAAATTAAACTTTTGGGGCTGTGTGATTGTTTTTTGTTTAATCTTTGTTTGCTGTGAAGCTTATGTATGTAGTACAGGCCATAGATTGGGTTGTGAATTATGCAGGACAATGGTTTTTCAGTTGTTGACGTGTTATTCGTTGATAGTTGAAATCATCGAAAGTATATTTTTCCCCCACATGAAATGGTTCATCATTTGGGGTTGGGAGATTTCATAGACTATTATTGGCTGACTATTGATCAATTTTCTTTCCCTTTTTTGACAATTTGTGAAGATAATAAGAAGGAAAGCAAGCGAGGAAGTATAAGGTGTAATGGCCTCAGAGAGGGAAAATTTTGACCTCTCAGGGCCCTTACATCTAACTTATGTCAACTGGTAAGATCCATCAAACAAATCTTCTACTTCAAAATTTTTTCTTTTTTCTTTTTATGCTTACATATCATTTCTTCACTGCATGTTTGTATTGAGATTATATATATACTGATATCGAGGGGCTATTTATCTAGGAACTACTAATATTCTTCTTTAAACAAAATTAAGTGTAATATCATAGGTAAGGCACTATAAGTGTTATTCTCCAATCAAAATTGAAGTTTTACCTTGATAATATGTTACACCTTTAATGTTGGTGTGTTGATCTTCAATGCGAACCTTTATTATATAGATTATTAAAGTATTTAACTCTGGTTGAAGAACTACACTAATAGTACCTATGATATTGTATCTAAATTTTGTCCTTTTTTTGGTCTTAAAGCTTCAATATTGCAGTATTAGTTGACTTAAGTAAGAATATTTTGAATGAGTCCATCTTGTTATCCAGGGCTAATGAATATCACCGAAAGTCTGTTGCTGCTAGTTTGGTTCAAGGTGTATATATTCTAGAGAGGGACAGGCAAGAACAACGTGAAGGTCCCAATGCTCTTGCAATGCCTTGGTGGACATTCTTCCACTTTCAGTTGCTTCGCACACTTGTTGATGATGTTGATTCTTCCATCTTTGGTGCAATTTACGAGTTCAAGCCTCCATCATCTATGCACAATGACACCTTACATAGAAGTCCACGTTATGTAGTTGCATTTCGAGGGACTATAACCAAGGGAGATTCAGTTTCACGCGATATCGAGTTGGATATCCACTTTGTTCGAAATTTGCTGCATAAAACTTCGCGTTGTGAGAGAGCTATCCAAGCTGTTCAAAGCATGGTGGCAACTGTGGGTGGTTCAAATATCTGGTTAACTGGACACTCCCTAGGATCAGCATTGGCATTGCTTAGTGGCAAAGCCATGGCCAAGACTGGTATATTTATTGAGTCTTTTCTTTTCAACCCTCCATATGTGTCTGCTCCAATTGAGAGAATCAAGGATCAGAAATTAAAACATGGGCTTCGAATTGCTAGCAGTGTAGTGACAGCTGGACTTGCCTTTGCCATGAAGGCTAAGCAGAATAAGAATTTGTCCTTTGATGCATTTGCTGCTTTGTCTGCTTGGGTTCCATGCTTGTTTGTGAATCCATCTGATCATATATGCTGTGAGTATATTGGATACTTTGAACACAGAAAAAAAATGGAGGAGATTGGTGCAGGAAGCATTCAAAAGTTAGCATCTCAACACTCACTTTCTTGTCTACTTATGGGTGGGTTAGGGATGGAATCTGAACCCCTGCACGTCATTCCTTCAGCTTCTGTCACAGTTAATTTTACTCCTTCAGAGGATTTCAGAGCAGCTCATGGGATTCACCAGTGGTGGAAACCTGACTTACGCCTGGAATCCAAGCTCTACAAATACTAATAGTTCTTGTAGTTGTTGTAATGTGTCGCTGGATGTATATTGAGCTATGTTGTTTCTGGTTTTCTTTGTGAAGTCAATTTAAATAAGCTGTTGCAACTCTTAAGAATGATAGTTTGGATAATAATATTGGATTGATTTTGGGGACTTCTGTTAGTTTCCAGAATCAAATCTAGTCAATATAACAGGCCTACAGTTTTATGAGATATAGAGAGCTCTTTTCTGGGTTCTATTATTTGAACTATGGATATAAGGAGTGTCAGAAAGAACAGTGAGTTCTGTATTCCATCAATCATGTCCTTTTCTTAGAAAATATATTGCTTTACTGTTGACCATAATTATAAATGTTGAATCATAAAATTTATGTCTCGACTACGTTATTCTAGTACTAATTTTGACATAAATATTGTTTACATAAAATTTATCGTCTTATAGTTACTGTCGACGTGCATCTCACTTAAACTTCAAATAATTAAACTCACAAAAGGTTCAAAACATCTCCTCTTTCCTTTCAAGCTCGTAGTTCTTATTGCTATTCCCTTTAATAATTAAGTCCATCTCCCACTTACTCTATTTTTTTTTATATTGAATGAATGAATTAACTATAATGGAAAACAAAAATTGTCCCACTTTTGTTGAACTAAAAACCTTTTCTCATGTTATATAAAGGAAAAATAATACCATGTACCTATTGCCCCATATACTCATCCATAAAAATTTGACAATTTTTTTAAAATTAATTACTTATAATTTTGGTTCTTATTAAAAAAAATTGATTATTGATTCTATTAAAAAAAACATATTTTAGTCACTATCATAATAAGTGAATGATTCAACTCTGTCACATCATCACCTAAAAACCAATTTAGCGACAATAATTAAAAATGTGTTCTTTAAAAACTTATGGATCAAATAAAAATAGGCTACTGCCCGTGAAGCTGTGAACTAAAAATTACAGTAAAAGTAAATATTAAAGAATTTTTAAATTGATGCTAAATGTCCTTGTATTAGGTTTTTTCTATTATTTTGTCGTTAAATTAACTTTTTAAAAAGTTAAAAATCATGACATTTTTTTTTCAAGGTGGAATAAAATAACAAGAAACGAAGACAAAATTAATAATTACTATTTTCATAATTTAGAGAGATAATAGTTACTGCTACTAAATGAAAGGGTTTAAAGAATTAGCAATGAAAGCCCAAAACGGATCCATCGGCGACAGCGATGGCGACCCTGCATTCAGCTTTGGCCTCCACGTGATGACTGAAGAGGTGCAACACCCTCACGCGCCCCGCCATTGCTATTCTGGACTCGATCTCCATCGTGTGCCCAACCTTACTGGGCCCATTAATAGAGGCCAACGGGAACGACTGCACGGTGAACGTGGCGGCCATGTACTGAGTTCTGCCGGCGAAGATCTTGCCGGCGGGAATGAACACGAAGCCGACCTGTCTGCCATAGTAGAGAAGCTGGAGCGAACTGTCGTAGTGGGAGAAGGTGCCGCGGTTAGGGTTCCGAACGGAGGCGTATTGGGAGAAAGTGAAGTTGACGGTGCCGTTAGTGACTGAGAAGGAAGGGATTTGGACGGCGCTGACGGCGATTTTGGGGTCGTGGGGCTTGAACAGCGTGAAGTAAAGGAGGAAGAGGAGAATGAGAAGGAAAATGAGAAAGATGGTGGCAACGAAACATGAGGCTATGTTGGTGCGGTTCTGTGTCTTCGTCATGGATCCAAAGATTGCAGAGGAATCAATGTTTGCTATGTTGAGGCATGTGAGTGTGTGTTTAACGTTGAAAGAAAATAATGAGATTTGCAGAGTGTGAAGTAGGACCATAGGTTCTTGTTTTCTTCCCTTCAAAATAATTCTTTTTGTCTGCAATCTTTTGTCTTCCACTGCGCAGTGAAATTTTAATTCCTTTCTGAAATATTTAATCTTATGATGATTCGATACAATGTAATGTTACTTTATTTTGTACATGTTTAGTTGAATTTGTTTAAAACACTGATGGTGAATACGTAGTTTTAGAAGAAAAAAAATAAGGGTTAATATAACTAATGTTCGTGATGGTTGTGTAGATATAATTTTCACACGCAAATTTGGGATTCAATTTGGGTTGGGTCCCCTCCTGTCACTTGTTTTTTTGTTTGCTTCTCCGAAGATAGCAATGATGATTTTCTTTTTTGGCGTGAGGCGAGGTTGATTTGACCCCTTGTTGTAAAGATCATTGCTGTAAGAACTGGGGTAAAAACCTCGCTCTCTTGTAAGTTATAAGGATGGATCTGAATGATCGATCATTGTTGACTTGATACAAATCTAGTTTGTTGGATTGGCCCATTTGACTTTTATATTTGATTTGAGTCAAATTGACAAGTGTTTTTAATAAAATTTGGTTTAATTTTAAGTCACAATTATGTATTTTTGTTTTTCTGATTTAGAAAATTAATTCTGATAATTGCAACTAAAAATTAGTTTTCAAAATTAGAGTGGCTGAAAAAAGGTGTATGGATTTCTTCTAGTTTATTTCAGAAAACGGGTTAAAAAAAAGACTGGGTGGGAACCTGAAAACACATATATGCCCACAACAAAGGCAATGACAGAATGTTTGGATCATGATGAAACCATAAGAGCAGGAGAAGTTCGATCTGGATAGACAATTTTTCATCTTTACCCTTCCAGAAATCTGGATTAGTGGTTCAGATTTAGTTCTTTCATGTAAATCTCAGGAATTCAATAAAAAAAATTACAAGGAAAATTCATATTATATACTGTGTGTACAGCTGCTTACATAGGATGCATGTCGAATTCATGAAGCATCTAAACATGTTACAATTATGTACACCAGACATTCAACTCCTGTGTTAGCCCCCTCATCACACAAACCTAGAATACACAAAATCTCAGTACAATACATCTTATTCAGACCCTTTAACTTCTCTCAACATGACAATACAATCCTGAAAAACAGTTCACGTAAGTGTTTTGAGAGAGATGAACCAGAGCTTTAGACCTATGTGTCCACCACACCCTTAGCCATCCTCATGTGTAGTCCCATCCAAAACATGGACCACAGTATTCACTCAATACAAACGCAAATATATATATATTATTATATACTTATGTATCTGAAAGAATCATTTTGAAAGCTTATCAAGGCGGGAATCCATAATCTGGGAGACAGATTCAAGAAAAACAGATTCCCCTGTACCAGCTAACCCTGATTCTTGCGCTTCATAAACAATCTCCTCCAACATTGATTCCTTGTTCACTTTTTCCCTACACAAAATGCTTCCAATGGCATAGGGTGTGAGACCTCTCTCAACCCCTTTCTTTAATAACATTGTGGAGATTCGGAGAGTTCGTCCACACTCAAGTGGAACATCCCACCCATAATGTTTTAAAAGTTCTATATCTTTTTCAGCATCAAGAGATTTAATATATTCAACTGTACCTGGAGAGTATGGTTCACGTGCTTGGGGCCAGTAAAGCCAATCAAATGTGCAATCCTCAAACTGTAGAAAGAGTAAAGATTGAGGCCATGCATTCAACAATAACAACAATAATAGTAATTATAAAAGAAACATAACCAAGGATTCTATGTATCAATGCGATACCCAAGTTCCTATGACCTAAGGAATTCAGCATGTCAATTATTCCACAAACATTACTTGCATAGAAAAAATTGTGTTGCAACACAAGTTGATCCAATTTTTTTATGAACTAATCAGATATGCAAATAATATATAAAACAAAATGATTTATAAGAATCTCAAAAATATATAAAACAAATACTTGACACAAAGCGCATATGTATATACAAGAAGCACAAGGGGAAATGAAAATTATGAGGTTGAGACAAGAATGGAGAATAATGCTTACTTTTTCTGGTAGACAGTAGCCATGATCAATAGGAATGAGCATAGTGTGGCCATTTGCCTCTTTTCTGAACAGAATATTCCCAGCATGCCTGTCTGCATTGGCCATTCTTATATCAAGCACGGTTATCTTATGTACTTCTTCCACTGAAAAAGCCCGTGGTCCAATTTCCTCACAATTACCATCATTGTCCATGAACATTTGCAATGACCCCATCTTAGAAGAGCAACCAAACCCAATTGGGTTATTAAAGGCTTGGTGTAAGCACTGCACCATAACAGTAGGGGGAACACCAGAAAAGCCTATTGCTTCACCTGATACCAAACGTGGTCCAGCCCTTGGATGATCCAATATATAGGCTGCAACTTCTCTCAAAGCTCCTTCTCCCACCCTTGTCCCTCTTTTCAAACCTTCACCATCAGATGAACTCGTTAGGCCTCGCGGGTTGTTCACTGCCATAGGTTCCTCATCAATGGGTTTAAACACTGAAACATAGTCCACACCTTTTGAGTCTTGCATGAAGTAAGTCCCACCTGTGCCCTCAGAAGACCTGATAGGGTGATTTCCATTTTTCAAGCCATCGAATGTGGAGTCGATCATGTCCCAAAGGAAAGGAAAAAACTTGATCGTAGGATTCACAAAAACTGGTTCCAACCAGAAATCTACTCCAGGTGGTATCTGATTCTCTCCCACACCTTGAGAATCTGCCACAACAAAAAGCTCCAAACCTTGGTGAACTGGTTTGGCCTTAACTTTTGCTGACTTTTGAACTATCAAGTGAATCACATCATCATCACTCTTGCATATATCACGGAAGAGCCTATGATCATCAAGCTCTTCCCCACCACAGAATAGCTCTCGATCCTCGAGATCAATAAAACCTTTCCCTTTCTTCTTAATGCGTTGCTTAAGATACCCCACGTTTCTATGCCTATCAATTTGTAACTCAAACTCCTTGCCACAGGTGGTTCTCAAAACAATGAAGATCATGTCAGAAAGACGAAGAACCAAGTGAAGAACATTCCCTGCAGTGACATCATACTCCTTGATGAGTGCATCGTTGCGAGCAAGCTCTCTGCCATTAGAAACCAGCTTGTGCTTCTTCCCTGCAACCCCTTTGCGTGTCTGAATCCTCATTTTCACTGAAGCAACGGAATCAGACTCCAAAACCCGCATTGGTGTCACAGCACCCTCCACTGTGAGATATATCACGATGGATTCGCCAGTGCAGCTTCCTTGCCAATGCACCAATTCCTTGCAAATCGGTCTCAGAGCAACATCACAAACCGACATCTTTCTAAATTCAACAATCTTTCTTTCTTTTTTATTATAAACTCATGTTTTAGTCCTCTTAGCAGAGAAACTTGAGTTATCACAATGTAATTAACGGAAGGAACCCATCAACGAAGGAGAAGGCCTTTCGATCGAAGCGATCGAAGCGCCCCAACTACAAAGTTCAAAAAATATAAAAGAAAAAGAGAAAAAAAATTAAATTTTTACGGAAAATTTGATTTACCCATAAATGAATTTTTGGTGGTGTATGCCATGCAAAACGAAAGGACAAAATGTGTGAGAAACTGAGGTGATGGGTGATGAATGAATGAATCTCTCGAAAGAAGCGTAAAGGAATGGTAGCGAACGAGAGTGGATTCTTACCAAAGGAAAGAATCAAGGAGGAATGTGAGAGGGGAGAAAGCTTAAATGGAAGGGATTCATTCAACTAATTCCGGCAAGTGGCGATGTTTTCGCCGATCTTCTCTGATCCAATCAAGTTGTTACTTCCCAACCATTCAGGTATTGTAGCCGTTGGCTTTTTATATAAAACTTGGACCAACCCCTATAACGGCAACATTTTTTGATGTAGCAAATCTATCTGTAACACATGTAACAATAATAATGCTAAATATCACGAAAACGAGTACGAGGAGCGTTTTGTTGAAATTTTTAAGGAAATAATATAAAAAAAAAAAATAAAAACAGTGAAATGGACTTTGCTACAAATATTTACCAAATTGAACCTTTTTACTGCATTGAGATAGAGAATTTGTATCCTGAAAAATGTAACATGATTTATGTTTATGGCAAATGTAACATATAGTTCTATACCTTATAAAAGTTTATTAGAATCATGGATGTTGAAGAGTGCTTTGACATTTTCATCATCGTTTAACTGAACATATGTGTAGTTACTAATTCTCGGATCAAGTCTAATTGGGTAGCAAAAATATATCGTTTTCACTCTTTCATTTTCGTCGTTTAGTGTATATGACTTTCTTCAATCTTTATAAAGTCACTTTTCTCTTTAGATGTACTAATTTAACTGATGGTGAGATAAACGTAACTCATTTATTAAGACATTAATTAATGGCACCATCAGAGTGAACAATGATATAATAAAAAAGTTTAATTTGGTAAATATTTGTAGCAGAAGTCCATTTCAGTATTTTTATTGTATATTATTTTCGTAAAAAATTCATATTTTGTTTTGTTACAATTTATTTATTTACACAAAATACGGACAACCTCCTCAGTAGACAAACACATCACACCTACAAATTGCCCTTGTGTTCGGAGGATGCACTAGCAAACTAGCAAGTAACGTTCTGCATAAATCCAAGGCTAAAGTGTTGTGGTTTGTTGTAGTTTATCCTTTAATTATATTATTGTTACTATTCAAGTACTTTTACTATGATAGCAATAGTAATTCTTTTAATGCCGTTGGGTCATGCTATTGATGTCTTGCGTCCTTACCATCTTTTTTGTTGGCCAATTCATTGAAAGAGTACCAATGCATTCATTTGGATTTGCCTCGTATTAGATTATTGGTTGTGGTATATGCTGCTTGAAATGAATTTGTGGAGCAAGTTCAATGAATATTACTATTCCATTTTTGTAAAGTAATAGGGTCAGCATTTGAAATAAACAAAATAAGATTTCTTGCTTCTTAGGTGTCTCATGACTATGAGATATTGAGCATTATAACTATTAAACGCAGTTTTTTTTAAGGTACAATAATAATGTAATTTATTAATGAAAAATTGATTGATCAATTTTACTTTCCTTCAAGATTTTTATATTCATCCTTCCCAGTATCATTGCACTCCATGTGCTCCTTGGTCCCATGTATGCCCCATGTCTCAATCAACGTTCAGAAATGAGCTAACGACAGTCTAATTAAATGGTCTTATATTCTATTTCGTGGCCGTGGAGACACTCTCATTACCTAAACAGATTTTTATTAGGAAGGTTGCTTGAAAAGAATATTGATTTTCCTACACTTTATATTTGTGAAGGATGAAAACTGAAGAGAGTCTATCTAACCACCAGAAATAGGTGATATCTGAATAATTTTAACAATTTTGTTAATTCTAATTTTGGGATTAAGATTAAGAATTTAAAATAATAAATCTGTATTAAAATAACATTCATTATATTCAAAATAAAAAAATATAATAAATAATTGTTTTAATAAAAGCTAACTATTATTAATTACTTAAATTGGGTCATAAAAAATAACAATATTGTTTAATTTTTTAAGGCAAAAATATCACCGCCCATTGACGGAAGAAATGTGCTTGTCCAAGTTCGGTGAGGGTATCTTCCGTGACCGTTATAGTCGGTGGGGCAGTTGAACACGTGTTAGCTATAAATGTTTTTACCATTTCTTTCATATGTAACTAGATATTTATTTATTTATTTATTAAATAATGGAGTAGTTTTCCCCCTATGTTTCTTGCAATTTGGACACGAAAGTAGGTACTTTAAAAATTGGTTGGCTTTCATTGATATTATTAAATATGATATACCAGCGCTCTTAAAGTTTAAAAAATATTTCTTCTCTTCATCTATCATTTCAATCTTTTGAGTTATCTGCTATTGAAACATACTAACTAACATAATGTTAACATATTATGTAAAACGATTGTGAAATACATACAAGATACGTATAAAATTATCATTACGACTATCATATATTTGTGATTAACTAAAGTTATCCTATTATGAAACATGTATAATTAATTATACGATAAAAATATGTCTGGTATAATAATATATATATATATATATATTATTTTATTCTCTAAAATTGTTATTTGTTAAATATTTTAGTTTTTATTTATTCATTTCACTTCTTCTTTATTTTCTTTTGTTGTAAATTACCATTATCAACTATTATTTTCATTTTTTGTTGATAACTTCACCGTTGCTATCTAACACGCAATTTTGACCATTTTTCACATCAATCATATTACTTCTCTTTCAAGACACATATATTTCAACTTTATTTGATAAGTTTATAATTAAGCTCTTTTTTACAACTCATATATTAATGTTTAATCTTTATATTATTTGAGTTTTATCCTGATTTATTTGTATATTGTGTAGTTTAACATAAAGATGTCACAACTAGGTTTAAAAATTATTTTGGGCCCAAATTGGTTGCAAAATAGAGCTTTGCAGCAGTCAACAAGCCCAAACCCTATCATTAAACACAGGAGTACTTTGAGCCCATGTACAACCATGCTTACGGCCTTGCACGACTGTGCTAATTTGTGGGAAACCCAATTAATGAAAAACTTTTAGAGTTTTCAAACTCTATTAAAGAGAGATCTCGGACATCTTATTCTACATCTTGTCTCTTACTCTTCGATACACCTTTCATTTCGTCTTTTTTGCACGGATCGTTGGCATATTTTTTGTGAGACTTGGAGCTTCGAGCGACCGTACTTGAAGATCAAACAATCATATCTTTCTAGTTTACTTTTCTCTATGGCTTTATTTATGATTGTTCTAGTTCTTATCTTTAACATAAGTAACTAAGTCCATAGCTAAGGTTATAGGAACTATTGTTCATGAATTTATGAAATTTTAAAATTTAAATCTATATTTGGTTTCTATTCTTAATTAGCTTTTATCCTATTGCACATAATTATAATCATAATTAATTATATCGTCAAGCGACCGTACCTCGATTAATTAATAGATCTATAGGATAAAATGAGACAAAGGATTAGGTAGACCAAATTAATCTTTATCTTCCAATCTTATTACATTAACAAGTTCATAGGTACTTTATACTTTTTTTAATTGATGTCTTACATGATCATTTGAGATATTAATTTAGAGAAAATAATATTAGTATTGCATGATCATTGGGTGTAAATAGTATTTGTATGAATGATTGGTAATAACAAGAAAATTAAATTTAGAGTTAAATGAAAAAATAACATAAAGGATTGAATGAGAAAACTCATATGCCCTAAGTTCCTCTCTTATAAGTTCAACAAAGACGTGTGTTGTGTTATATGCTTTTATTCATAATTAATTTTATAATTAAATTATGGTTCTTACTTAATTTCACATCTTTTAGGCTCAAATAATTGAATTAAGAAATTCTTAATAATTAAAATTAATCTTTGTGAGACAATATTTCAGAAACTTATTTTAGAACCCTTTATTACTTCTTGACAGATACACTTGCCCTCCGAACATTACTCACATTGATTTTTTCAATTACAAACTCAAGGGATAATACTCACTTCCATTGTCATGCTTGATAGCCTCAAAATCTTAAACTTTTCTTTCCATAGACTAAAAGGCGACATACCCTCTTACATCAAGGGCTTAATTTCACTCAAAAAATTCTCGTTGACTATAAATTCGTTTTCAAGGACTATTCCAAATTCTATTTTTTCCATACTTAATTTGATTCACTTGGATCTAAGTTCAAACCAATTTAATAGAAGTAAATGATTGAAGAGATAAGTGGTTCTTTTGATTTCTAATAGCAGAAATTCCAATGACAGTCATAAGTAATGCATTTTATGGAACTTAGGTTTGCGATGGTGGTATTAGGTGTGACATTCTTTCTTACTTAAATATTTTTCCTTTAGGTAAAAGATATGAAAAATTTGGAAAAATTTACACATAAATTTGAACTAATAAAAGTTAGCAAAATTTTGAAACTTTGTGCATATGTTTCATTCATATGAGATATAAATGTTGATTTTTTCAATACAAATGTTTGATCAAAGTAAAGATTGAAATTACATTTTTAAACAATTAACTTACTTCATACTACATACATATATATAATACAATTTTTTTATATAAACAAAAATCTCTTTACAACAATTTAAACTTTTAACTAATGTCAGATGTAAATTACAATTAAAATAATTAACTAATTACAACAAAGTTTACCAAAATATATACATTCTAAAATCAACATTAAAATATTTACATATCATTATCAAAATTAAATGAAAACTTAATTAAAATTATTATAATCT